CAGCAGGACTTTTTGAAGCACTTCCAACAGGAATAAGTCTCCCTAGGGATCCATGTGCACCTAAGTGAAGTGGAAAGATTCAAAATTGCCCACGAGCTGTTTTGCTGATGACACTAAGCTGGGAGGAGTGGCTGACACACCAGAAGGCTGTGCTGCCATTCAGAGAGACCTGGACAGGCTGGAGAGTTGGGTGGGGAGAAACTTAATGAAATTCAACAAGGGGAAGTGCAGAGTTTTGCATTTGGGGAAGAGAAACACCATGTATCAGTACAGGTTGGGGGCTGAGCTGCTGGAGAGGAGTGATGGGGAAAGGGACCTGGGAGTCCTGGTGGGCAGGATGACCATGAGCCAGCAATGTGCCCTTGTGGCCAAGAAGGCCAATGGCATCTGGGGTGGGTTAGAAAGGGGCTGGTTAGTAGGTCAAGGGAGGTTCTCCTGCCCCTCTGTTCTGCCTTGGTGAGGCCACATCTGGAGTATTGTGTCCAGTTCTGGGCCCCTCAGTTCCAGAAGGACAGGGAACTGCTTGAAAGAGCCCAGGGCAGAGCCACAGAGATGCTGGAGGGAGGGGAACATCTCCCTGCTGAGGAAAGGCTGAGGGAGCTGGGGCTGTTGGGCTTGGAGAAGAGGAGACTGAGGGGCCACCTCATCCATGGGCACAAATCTGTTCAGGGCAGTGTCAGGAGGACAGAGCCAGGCTTTGTGCAGTGATGTCCAGTGACAGGACAAGGGGCAGTGGGTGCAAACTGGAGCCCAGGAGGTTCCATGTGAATCTCAGGAAGAACTTCTTTGCTGTGAGAGTGCCAGAGCCCTGGGCCAGGCTGCCCAGAGAGGCTGGGGAGTCTCCTTCTCTGGAGACATTCCAACCCCCCTGGCCACGTTCCTGTGTGATGTGCTCTGGGTGCCCCTGCTCTGGCAGGGGGGGTGGGCTGAGTGAGCTTTCCAGGTCCCTTCCAACCCCTGGGATTCTGGGATTCTGTGACTGTTAATGCAAATTGCAGAAGACTTTGGAAGCTGGCTTTGTCTGTTAGGATGCTTAGGAAGGAGTGATGTCCTGCTGGAAATCTGGCCTCTTGGGGTGCTTAAAAGGGGTTTATTTTGAAAAAAAAAAAAAGTCCTTACTGCTGCTGATCCCTGTGGAGTGAATTCCCCAGTGCTTGATGCACTGGCAAGGAGTGATCTCCATGCCCTGGTTTGATCTCTGTACATCCACCATCTTGCTTGTGTCCCAGCACTAAGGTTAAACAATCAGCTTTAATGGTGTTCATAGAATCACTAAGGTTGGAAGGGACCGCAAAGATCACCAAGTTCCAACCCCCCTGCCATGAGCAGGGAACCACCAGACCAGGTTGCACAAAACCTCATCCAGCCTGGCCTTAAAAACCTCCAGGGATGGGGCATCAACAACCTGCCTGGGCAACCCATCCCAGCTCCTCACCACCCTGAGAGTGAAGAATTTCTTCCTAAGATCTCACCTCAATCTCCCCTCTCTCAATTTAAAACCATCACCCCTTGTCCCATCACTGTCTTCTCAGATGAAAAGCCCCTCCCCAGCTCTTCTGGAGCCCCTTCAGGCACTGGAAGCTGCTCTCAGGTCTCCCTGGAGCCTTCTCTTCTCCAGGCTGAACACCCCAACTCTCCCAGCCTGGCTCCAGAGCAGAGCTGCTCCAGCCCTTGGATCATCTTCATGGCCCTTCTCTGGTCTCATTCCAACAGCTCCATGTCTCTCCTGTGCTGAGGGCCCCAGAACTGGACACAGAATTCAAGTGATGTCAAACTGATGTGCAAATTTTCTTCCCCTTATCAAGCATTAATAACGTCTCTAATGAAGTCAGCAACATGTGCAGAGCTACTCAAACCTTCCCTGGTGTCTGATCTCTTCAAAGGACACAGTGACACAAAAGAGGGGGTGCTGTCCACCCCTGTGCACTGGGGTCTCACCAAATTCACCCCCGTGGGGTCAAGGTCTTGCCTTTCACCTGGGAATCTTCTCTGTGCTGCGAGGCCTTGCTCCTGGTGCTTTGGTCATTCCTAACAATGTAGGCAGCATTTTTTTACTAGGCTTGTGAAGGGAGGTTTGAAATTAATCATGAATGGTTAGTGCTGCATTTTAAAAATTGGTATGGAAGGATTTTCATGGATATAACACATTTTTTTCTTCCCCCTCAAGATGTCTCAAATCTGGCTGATAACTTTGCGAATGAGCTCAGCTTGGCCAATGGTCCTCCTCTTATCAGGCCAGTTTATTCAAATGTTGGTCTCCAGAGTGTGTCTCAGCTCCAAGAACACCTCTACCCAGGTAAACCACTTACTATGGATATTTTTTTTTAATTTAAGATTGTATTTGACAGAAATTCTAGGAAGATAATGTGATACAAAGATAAGATTTCAGGCAAACAACTGTTAGGGTGTTTAAAAAGATGTAACTGCTCCAAGAATGTTGATTTTCCTGATTTTTCAGGTGTTTCAATCTCTTATCCCATTTTTGCCTCAATTTATAATCCCCAATGTACACAATTTTTGAGAATGTGCCCAGAGAGAGAATAATTTATTACTAGCATAACTGGAATCTAAGTAACATAACCAAAGAGCTGCTGTTAGTCAATATCTGGTTGTTGCAGATAAAGAAAGAGAAAGACAATAAATTAATACCACCGGGAAAAAGTAATAGTTACCTGCATGTTTCCCAGCATCCACCCCTGCTCCTGGTGTTACCCTCAGCCTTCCCCTACCACTCCCATCTGCTGGGGTTGTTGGGGTGGGTTGTCAGCATCTCCAGTTCTTCTCTCAGGAGTTTGTTGTTGATGCTGATGGGTTCTCTTGCCCACCCCAGGATCCCCTTTGGGGTCACTTGCTGTAGGTTTGCTAACACACTTTGACATCTTGTTCTTTCTTCTTGGGTCTGCAAGTTCATTGCTCTGTCAGAGTTTAGTGAACTTTTGTCTCACACAAGGTAGAGACTTGTTCTTTTTAAAGGCAGTTTTGTTCAGCTCTGGGGCTGCATTTCTTCAGTTGACCATCTGAGAGCTGTTTCTGGCCTCGGGATCTCCTGTGCTCTGTCTCTTACTGCCCCACACCTGAATTGAGCCCCACATCCTGTATCCCACATCTCAAGGCTCCTGTTGTCCTACCAGACCTGCATCTCTGCACTTTTTCTCAGCACATTATATGCAGAAAGATCTCATCCTGTGCAGGCCTCCTTGTGGCTGCTGTCTGTTATTGATGGTTATTATCCACAACCACCTGCTTATTAGAAAAGAAATGCTGTTACAGGCAAATCAAGTGGAAAAAAAAAAAAGTTAAAAAAGCTCCAACAGGTCAACAAAAACTCAAACAAAGCAACCAGACAAGCCTCCAGCCTGAGGCCTGGCACACTCAGTACACTCACTGTGGCTTGGTGCTGCAGTGCTGCTCTGCAAGGCTCAGCTCCAAGCCCTGGGTCTGATCAGCTCCGACATTTATCTTGCCCAGTGCATTAATTCTGCCCTCCAGGCTGGGCAAAGCAAAGCCCAGCCCTCCCCAGGCCAGGCTGCAGAGCCTTGCTTTGCTTTGCTTTTTGAGCAAAAGCCTTTTGGTTCTTGCAGAAACCTTTCAGCTCCAAAAGCAGTGATGGTTGCTGAGCAACAGAAAGTGCCACACACCAAGCCCAAGGGAAACAGGAGTAGCCAAGGGCAGTGGGAATTCCAGCATGTTCTGGGAGCAGGGTTGTGGCTTTAGGTCCAGCTCTGCAGCACATGGGAGAGACATGGAATTCCAGGTCCTTGTGCAGTATCAGCAACAAACAGATACCTTCTCATTAGACATAGTCTGTGGATGATTAATTTTTTTTCCAAAATCTGACCTATGGATGAACAATATTAATTGTTCATTTTCTAATTATTTTTCTAATCTTTTTATCTTTTCACACCTATTTTTGGGATAGTCAGATAATCCATGTACCGGTCAGTTCATAGCATTTGGTGCAGGGTGTACAATTGCTGTTTCTTGATGGGAATGTGCTTTTTTAAGGGAAGGCTGTGACACAATCAGTGTGTGCTTGGCCTGGTGATTGTGTTTTATGGATGGAGCAGTAATTTTCACCTGTCAATTTAAGAGAGGATTTGTGTTAATTTTTTTTTAATCACTGTTACTTGTTATTTTGGAGGAGCACCAGGTTTAGCAATGGGCTTCATGTATTCCCCTGTGTTTGTTAAGGATGTGGATCATTGGAGTGATGTGACAATCATGTGACAGAATGGGTAGATGCAGGGAGAAGAGTGGATGTGTCTTCCTTGACTTCAGCAAGGCTTTTGACACTGTCTCCCATAACATCCTGGTGGATAAGCTCAGGAAGTGTGAGAAGAGTGTACAGTGAGATGGATGGAGAACTGGCTGGACAACAGAGCCCAGAGGGTTGTGATCAATGGTGCAGAGTCCAGCTGGAGACCTGTGACTAGTGGTGCTCCCCAGGGAGCAGCACTGGGCCCAGTCTTATTCAGCATCTTCATCAGTGACCTGGATGAGGGGACAGTGTGTCCTCAGCAAGTTTGCTCATGACAAGAAGCTGGGAGAGTTGGCTGATGCACCTGAAGGCTGAGCAGCCATTCAGTGAGATCTAGACAGACTGGAGGGCTGGGCAAAGAGGAACCTCATGAGGTTCAACAAGTGTAGAGTCCTGCACCTGGGGAGAAAAAACACCATGCATCAGTATAGATTAGGGGTTGACCTGCTAGAAAGCAGCTCAATGGAGAAGGACCTTGGGATCCTGGTGGACAACAAGTTATCCATTGGACAACAATGTGCCCTTGTGGCCAAAAGAACCAATAGTGTCTTGGGATGCATTAAAAAAAGTGTGGCCAGCAGGTCAAGGGAGCTTCTTCTCCCCTTCTACCCTGCCCTAGTAAGACCACATCTAGAGTATCATGTCCAGTTCTGGGCTCCCCAGTTCCAGAGGGACAGGGATCTACTGGAGAGAGGCCAATGGAGGCTACAGGGATGATGAAGGGCCTGGAACACCTGCCTGAGGAGGAAAGGCTGAGAGACCTGGGGCTGTTTAGTTGAGAATAGAAAACTGAGACAGGACCTGATTAATGTCTATAAATACCTGTAGGGTGGGTGTCAAGAATGGGCCAGTCTCTGTTCAGTGGTGCCTGTGATGGAACGAGGGGGAACAGCACCAAGTGACAACACAGAAATTCCACCTTAACATGAGGAAGAAGTTTTTTCCTGTGAGGGTGACAGAGCCCTGGGCCAGGCTGCCCAGAGAGGCTGTGGAGTCTCCTTCTCTGGAGACTTCCAAGACCCATCTGGACATGTTCCTATGTGATGTGCTCTGGGTGTTCCTGCTTCAACAGGGGGGTTGCACTCGATGATCTTCAGAGGTCCCTGCCAACCCCTGTGATTCTTTGAATTTTTGACTCACACTGACCTTTTACTTTGATGACCTCATGGTATAATATATTCCTCTAGTAGCCAGAGTGTTGAGTAAATTATTTGCTGTATTTTGTTTTTCTAACTTCTGATATTTTTTTTCTAGTGGGTTCTGATGGAATCAAATGGAAGCCAGAAACCATCTGTGCTGACCTGTTCTCAGAGTATCCTGCATTAGAGGATTTAATGAAGAAGGAAATCCATCCACTTAGCAAGGGAGTATTGATATTTTCAAGAAGTTGGGCTGTTGAGATTGGATTGGAGAAAAAAAGGGATGTTGTGTGTGATGTTCTCTTAGTAGCTGAAAACACATACCCAGTGTTGTACACTGTAGTGGGGAACACCTGTTCTGCTGAGGCTGAGAACTTGAGAGAAACAGCTTATGCCTTAAAACAGAGACTGGTCAATGATGGCGGTTATGCTTCCAAAGTGTGTGTCATTCCCAAGATACTGCACCTGAGTGGCACAGAGGAGCAGATGGAAGTTGCAGGGGATGACATTCCCCAGCAAGAAGCCCAGGAAAACCTGTGTAATCACACCATCCTGTACCCAGAGGATTATGTCCTCACCTCCAGGGACATCCCTGCTTTCCTGCGTGCACTTGTGATTGTTGTACTGAGCTTTAAGTCCTACTTAAGTGACCATCTTGGCTGTGAGGTTTTCAACCTTCTCACTCTCAAACAGTATGAGCTGCTCTCCAAACACCTGCACAAAGCCAGGAAGCAGTTTGTCATTGGTCTTCCTGGAACAGGGAAAACAATCGTGGCTTTGAAGATCATTGAGAGAATAAGAAATGTTTTTCACTGTTCTGCAGAAGAGGTTCTCTACATCTGTGAGAACCAACCCTTGAAGAATTTTGTGGGGTAAGCAGTTATGTGAATTTCCTCTTTTTTTTCTTTCATTCCATCCTCTGTACATGCAGGACAAGCCCTGCTGATTTTACATCTGTTTGCCAAAGCTGTAACTTTGGCTGACACAAACACAGCACAGTCATCCCAAGCAAGGTTTCTGGTGGAGCTGAGCTCTGGCCCAGGCCCAGTGTTCACTGGCTCCAGTGGGAATCCCACGCTCAGGGGCTGCTGGATTGTGTTAGGCCTTCCCAATTTGATGGCCTTAGTTGAACAGTCTGTTATGGTGGGTCCTGACACCAAAACTACCCACCTGTCCTTCCCTGCTGCTGCCTCAGGGCTGCCTGTGCTGGGCTTGATGCAAGCTCCTGTGGAACTGGCCTTGGACCTGGGCCATTGAGACAAGGAGAACAGGAACTGCTGCCCTTGGGGTAAAGGATTGCAGGCTGAGCTGTTCCCCATTTCTCTTCAGGCTGCATTTCCATTTGTGTCATCATTGCAAGAGAGGGGACCTGATTAATGTCTATAAATATCTGTAGGGTGGGTGTCAAGAATGGGCCAGTCTCTGTTCAGTGGTGCCTGTGATGGAACGAGGGGGAACAGCACCAAGTGACAACACAGAAATTCCACCTTAACATGAGGAAGAAGTTTTTTCCTGTGAGGGTGACAGAGCCCTGGGCCAGGCTGCCCAGAGAGGCTGTGGAGTCTCCTTCTCTGGAGACTTCCAAGACCCATCTGGACATGTTCCTATGTGATGTGCTCTGGGTGTTCCTGCTTCAACAGGGGGGTTGCACTCGATGATCTTCAGAGGTCCCTGCCAACCCCTGTGATTCTTTGAATTTTTGACTCACACTGAACTTTTACTTTGATGACCTCATGGTATAATATATTCCTCTAGTAGCCAGAGTGTTGAGTAAATTATTTGCTGTATTTTGTTTTTCTAACTTCTGATATTTTTTTTCTAGTGGGTTCTGATGGAATCAAATGGAAGCCAGAAACCATCTGTGCTGACCTGTTCTCAGAGTATCCTGCATTAGAGGATTTAATGAAGAAGGAAATCCATCCACTTAGCAAGGGAGTATTGATATTTTCAAGAAGTTGGGCTGTTGAGATTGGATTGGAGAAAAAAAGGGATGTTGTGTGTGATGTTCTCTTAGTAGCTGAAAACACATACCCAGTGTTGTACACTGTAGTGGGGAACACCTGTTCTGCTGAGGCTGAGAACTTGAGAGAAACAGCTTATGCCTTAAAACAGAGACTGGTCAATGATGGCGGTTATGCTTCCAAAGTGTGTGTCATTCCCAAGATACTGCACCTGAGTGGCACAGAGGAGCAGATGGAAGTTGCAGGGGATGACATTCCCCAGCAAGAAGCCCAGGAAAACCTGTGTAATCACACCATCCTGTACCCAGAGGATTATGTCCTCACCTCCAGGGACATCCCTGCTTTCCTGCGTGCACTTGTGATTGTTGTACTGAGCTTTAAGTCCTACTTAAGTGACCATCTTGGCTGTGAGGTTTTCAACCTTCTCACTCTCAAACAGTATGAGCTGCTCTCCAAACACCTGCACAAAGCCAGGAAGCAGTTTGTCATTGGTCTTCCTGGAACAGGGAAAACAATCGTGGCTTTGAAGATCATTGAGAGAATAAGAAATGTTTTTCACTGTTCTGCAGAAGAGGTTCTCTACATCTGTGAGAACCAACCCTTGAAGAATTTTGTGGGGTAAGCAGTTATGTGAATTTCCTCTTTTTTTTCTTTCATTCCATCCTCTGTACATGCAGGACAAGCCCTGCTGATTTTACATCTGTTTGCCAAAGCTGTAACTTTGGCTGACACAAACACAGCACAGTCATCCCAAGCAAGGTTTCTGGTGGAGCTGAGCTCTGGCCCAGGCCCAGTGTTCACTGGCTCCAGTGGGAATCCCACGCTCAGGGGCTGCTGGATTGTGTTAGGCCTTCCCAATTTGATGGCCTTAGTTGAACAGTCTGTTATGGTGGGTCCTGACACCAAAACTACCCACCTGTCCTTCCCTGCTGCTGCCTCAGGGCTGCCTGTGCTGGGCTTGATGCAAGCTCCTGTGGAACTGGCCTTGGACCTGGGCCATTGAGACAAGGAGAACAGGAACTGCTGCCCTTGGGGTAAAGGATTGCAGGCTGAGCTGTTCCCCATTTCTCTTCAGGCTGCATTTCCATTTGTGTCATCATTGCAAGGTCATCAGGCCACTGGAGTGGACAAGGCACTTTGCACTGGGGAGTTGCAGCCTTGCTCATGTGGGAGAGGGACAGTTGGCTGCACTCCCGTGCTGCTGCCTCTCCAGCAGGACAGCTGGGCACTGACTGGCAGCTGGTGCCCCCCTCCACTGCTGGTCTCCAGTGGGTGGCAGCTGGTTGTTCTAGACCCAGTCCAGGCATGGCAGTGCCCACGCAGCAGGTCCTGGCCCCAGCAGGCAGATGGCCTGGCAGAGTGCTGCCAGTCCCCCTTGCCCTGGGGAGAAAAGGGGACCACGCTGCCTTCCCTGGGGCTGGGGGACAGCCCTGGAGAGCCTTGTCCAAGGGTCCCCATGTGGGAAGGGTGGTGGGCCCAAGTCCCCTCCAAGGGCAGTGGGTAGGGGCTGTGCATCAATGCCTGCACACAGCCAATCCATTGGAATAACTGTTTCCACCAGGAGGATAAAATAGTGTCCAGCCACTGGGGAAGGGACAGTTGCATTCTTCAGCAATATTAATTAAGCAGCCAAACGGCTTCCCAGCGAGGACCCGCTGAGGAGTGGGGGCAGTCAGTACAGATTTATCTGGGCACATCTTCTCTTCATTTACCATATGGGTTTTGGTTTGTTTTGTATTTTTAGGAACAAGATCTGCCAGTCAGTGACACGTGTTACCTTCTTAAAACGGGTCTTCCCAGAAGTGAAACACATTGTGGTTGATGAAGCTCAGAATTTTCGCTTGGAAGAAGGAGACTGGTACCAACATGCCAAAGAGCTAGTGAAGAAAACAAAAGGCATTCTCTGGATCTTCATGGATTTCTTCCAGACCACTCACCCATATGATTGTGGTCTTAACTTTTCAGAACTCTACCCTCAGGAATGGTTGACTAAAATGGTCCGTAACGCCAAGAAAATATGCAATGTCATGTTTGATCTAATGGAGAAAATCCTCGAAGAACAGAAGACGAACATGCCCTACGAGGTGCTGGGGGAGTTGTTGAAAGAGGCCACATGTGCCCATTCTCTGCCGGGTGACTACATCCTGAAACCACCAATGGAAATATCTGAGATAGTGAAGTATGTGATCACAAACTGCGACAGCTACTTCAGGCAAGGCTATCGCCTCAAAGACATTGCAATCCTGTGCAGCACTGGGGATGCAGCTGATTTTTTTCACTGCCAACTGGAAACAGAGCTAGGAAGGCAAAAAAAAAAAAGCATCATGAGGTTCCTGAGGAGAGCTGAGGAAGTTTCAGAAAACTGCATCGTCCTTGACAGCATCCGACGCTTCTCAGGCCTAGAAAGGAGGATTGTGTTCTGCATCCACCCTGTCCCTGCACAAGAGAAGATATCTCGCAACCTCCTGCTCTGCGCGGCCTCCAGAGCACACACCAAGCTCCATGTGCTGTACCACAGAGAAGAGATGTTCTTGAGTGAAATATCTTTCGACGACACAACTACACCCATGGACACTGGAATGTTCAGTTCCTGATGCCCTTTCTGCAGGCTGAGCCAAAAGAAAATATAAACAAATGATGCATATTTTGTGTAGGCCTGTTGGATGTCATCAAGTGGATTTGGATTTAAGGACATCACCCGCTAGAGCAGCTTGCTGAGAAAGACAATTGCAGAAGGAAGTCAACCATTCCAAACCACTTGCATAATCACAGAACAGTTTGGAGACTTGAAGTTTTAGTTCCTCTGCTCTTTAAGCTGATTGTGCATGGAATCATAGAATCATAGAGTATGTTGAGTTGGAAGGGACCCATCAGGATCATGAGTCCAACTCCTGTCCCTGTGTAGGGCACCCCAAGAATCACACCCTGTGCCTGAGAGCATCATCCAAAGGTTCTTGAACTCAGGCAGCCTTGGTGCTGTGACCACTGCCCTGGGAAGCTTGTTCCAGTGCTCAACCACCTTCTGACTTGTTTCAGCAGTACCAGAGTGGAACCACTGGTTGGAACCACAGCAGGGGCCATCTCTGTGTCCCTGCTGGTGCTGCTGCAAATGGTCAAAACTCTGTTTGTTTGGTTTTGGTTTGTTTTTTTTCAATCGTGGGGAGATTTTTGTGAATTTTCAGCCAAATGGGCTCTTTTTCCCATCCAAAAAGCCATGCCTCACTTGTGGGAGTGGTGGTGACTCTCTCCACCTCTGCTGGAAGTGGGGCTGGGCTTTTGTGGTGACATTGAAACACCCTAAATGCAAGTTTCTGCCCACAGAGGCAGTTCTGTCCCCAGCACTGTCCCCAAACCTCTCCTGAGCTGGCTCAGGTGTGCAGCTGTGCAGTGAGTTGGGAACTTGGGGGTCTTTTTTGGCAAATTAGGCTTTAGCTTAGGCAGGCTCCACCTTGTCGTGTAGCTGCCCAAGTGCTAGTGCTGGCATGAGGGGGAGTAGGAATGTGCTGGAGAATGAGGCAGGATCACAGAAAGGCTGAGGTAGGAAGGGACCTCTGGAGGTCATCTCATCCAACCTCCTGCTCAAGCAGGGACACCCAGGACCATGGCCAGATGGCTTTTGAAGATCTTCCTGGATGGAGACTCCACACCCTCCATGCATATGGATGAGGTCCCTTGAGACCTTCTCTTCTCCAGGCTCAGCAGTCACAGCTCTTTCAGCCTTTCCTCATAGGACAGATGCTCCAGTCCCATCATCATTTTCATGACCTTCTGTTGTACTCTCTCCAGTATGTCCATGTATTTCTGGTGCTGGGGAGCCCAGCACTGTACAGAGTGCTCCAGGTGTGACCTCGCCACTAGTGAGTGGAAGGATCATCTCCCTCAGCCTGCTGGCAACTCCCCTCCTAAAGCAGCCCTGGTTGTCATTAGTCTTTTTGTTTGCTGCAAGGGCACTTTTCTAGCTCAAGTTTAACTTGGGTGTCCACCAGGATCCTCAGCAGTCTTCTCTGAAGAGCTGCTTTCCAGCTGGTCAATCCCCAGCACATCCTGGTGCCTCCCCTCTCCAGGGGCAGGACTTTGCAGTTTTCCTTCTTGAACTTCATGACATTCCTGGCAGCCCATTTCTGCCAGGGCTTAATGCTTCTCCCTTGTGCTCCTCTTTTGGTAGCTGCTCACATTTGTACCTACTCAAGCTGTTAAAAAACTGCAGTGGGTCACCAAGATTTCCTCGTTCCAACTGGGACTATTGAAGACCTGAAGTCAACAAGCTGTTGCCTGGCAGAGCCTGTGTTGACAGCCCAGTTCTTGCTGTCATGTCAAATCTGCCATAAGCAGAACAGCTCTTGAAACTCTGACCCTGCAAAAACCTAGTGAGGCTCCACCACGTAATGACATCTTTTCTTTCTGTCTCAGGTGTTGACAGAGCTTTGCAAATGTCTGTCTAGGTTGGTAGTTCCTATAATTGCTTCCTCTGATACTAAATTTTTAAATGCTGAGTTCATTATGACCTAATATATTTACTCAGGAAAAAAGAAAACTAATTAAAAATTGTATCAGCCTTCTGCTTTTCTGTAATAATTGGCTTTTTCTGATTTGGGTATCTCTAGCATTTTTGGCAGCCAGAGCTTCAGATCTAAAAATGCAAGGGCCTTGCAATACCTGCAGGACCAGCGAGGCATTTCCACCCGCAGGTGATGATCTGAGGAGGAAGATCTAAATCCTGCTGGGTTTTATACTCCGTGCTGTTAGTGTTGCAGTTCCAGGGGCTCAGCCTCACCCCTGCACACGCTTCAGGGAATACACACTCCTGCAGTATTTAAACTTGTCTTGACCAAACCATTCCTGGAGTAGCAGTGGGGAAGCATCCCAGGAGTGGTATGGGAGGGGAGCCCTTCAAAGGGCAGGGGTCCCAGCTGGCAGAGCCATCAGGCACACCAGCTTGGCAGTGACTCCAGAGAGGACCATGGGGTGCCCAGGTTGCTGGGAGGGCAGGAGGGATGGAGCCCAGCCTGGGGCTGGCTCCAGGGAAGGGACCAGAGGAGCCAAGATGTTGGCTGGATGGGGCAGGTGTACAGGTTCCCGGGGACACCTCTTGAGCAAATATGGAACATGTGGAGCTTCAGAGTGTTTTCACAAGACTCACCCTGACAGGAGGAGGCCAGGGGGGGAGGTTTGGGGAAAGCAGCACAACCAGTGGCACCAGACACCAGGCAGCAAAGTGCCCGCTGGGCTGCAGGTGACAGAGGCTGCCACCCCGGGGGGGGACAGGCTGCTTGTCCTGGGTTGGTGGTCACAGCATCACGGGCTGGTTTGGGGTGCAGGGACGTTTAAAGGCCATCTAGTCCCGCCCTGCAATTTAAACTTGTCTTGACCAAACCATTCCTGGAGTAGCAGTGGGGAAGCATCCCAGGAGTGGTATGGGAGGGGAGCCCTTCAAAGGGCGGGGGTCCCAGCTGGCAGAGCCATCAGGCACACCAGCTTGGCAGTGACTCCAGAGAGGACCATGGGGTGCCCAGGTTGCTGGGAGGGCAGGAGGGATGGAGCCCAGCCTGGGGCTGGCTCCAGGGAAGGGACCAGAGGAGCCAAGATGTTGGCTGGATGGGGCAGGTGTACAGGTTCCCGGGGACACCTCTTGAGCAAATATGGAACATGTGGAGCTTCAGAGTGTTTTCACAAGACTCACCCTGACAGGAGGAGGCCAGGGGGGGAGGTTTGGGGAAAGCAGCACAACCAGTGGCACCAGACACCAGGCAGCAAAGTGCCCGCTGGGCTGCAGGTGACAGAGGCTGCCACCCCGGGGGGGGACAGGCTGCTTGTCCTGGGTTGGTGGTCACAGCATCACGGGCTGGTTTGGGGTGCAGGGACGTTTAAAGGACATCTAGTCCCGCCCTGCAGCGAGCAGGGACATCCTCAACTAGATCAGGTCGTTCACAGCCCCATCCAGCCTGGCCTGGGATGTTCCCAGGGATGGGGCATCCCCAGGCAACCTGCTCTGTCCACGAAGATGTTTCCCCGGCAGGCAGGGAATGTTGGGAAAGATGCGGGAAGGGGCTGGGAATAAACCTGCGGGAGGGGCAGGCTCAGAGGCGGCTCCTGGCAGGGTTTGCCCGGTGCGGGGCCGTGGGGGGGTCACTAAGGGGGGCTCACCCAGCGGGGCGGGCGGGATCC